CGTAAATAATTCAGTCTAGCTCTCATCCCAGTTGCGTAAAAACCCCTCTTTGACCGATTAAAATAGTAGCACGCAACGTTACTCGATATCCGAGTTACTTGTTCGACCCCTGGGGTTAAGTGCAAGCGAGTTAATCGGTTGGGAATTTTTTGAACGGGGCTGGATCCCTAGCTCGCTAGATTTATACACCCGCATCTCTTCTTTCTATGTATACGTATTAAGTAACGGTAAATTATAGCAGATTTTTTTTCTAGAACAACTTCCTAATCTTACATTTCGATATAGAATTTTAAAATTTGACCCTTACAATTTCTGCAACATTATATTAATTTATTGTGATTATGCTTAGATTTAGAAAATCATATCGATATTGATGCTTACATCATGTTAACGCTTAACACAATTCTTAAAAACTATCGGTAAATTTCTCATCAATTACAAATAATTAATAAATAATACTACATATTTGGGCTTGTTTAAAACGCCTCATTCTCAACTATATCATTGTTAAATTTTATTTTTTCAAAAATTACAGTGCTCGTCAGAAGCAATCTACTCCCCAAATAACTTTCCATAGATCATGTGTAATGTACCAAAATTTCCCGAGCACAAAGAACAATGCAAACACTGATCATTTACGCTGATAAACTTCAAAATCGGACATTTTTAAATACGTTCACTATAGTAAGTCCACAGTGGTTATTGGGGTCCAAAGATAGCAGGAAACAAAGGACCTAAGTGATCGATCGAATTCTGGCAGAAATCGATCCACAATTCCGAAGCAAGACGAAAAAATTATAGAGCTTGCACAAAGCAAACTAGTGCAACCGTGCTGATATACAATGGGAAATGGAAAAAACGAAACGTCAATGGTAGTTTAAAAACTATTCAACGACGTCTACATAAAGATAAAGGCAAAACTTTCCAAACCTCTACTTACCAAGGTCCATAAAGAAAAATGGTTGGAATAACAAAAAAATATAAAAATTTTGACTGGAGTAAGGTTATATTTTCAGATGAAAATACGTTTTGTCTAAACCAGTCGTTACAGTTTCCTGGACGAAGAAAAATATTCTGGTTTGTGAAGTATCCATTAAAAATCAATGTGTTGTGTTGTTTTCTGCTTCGGGCTTTGGTAAGTTAGTCTATTTCCAGCAGAATCTCAATGCTGAATTTATGGTTACGGTATACAAACGCGATCTGCTCCCATCTATTGAGTATCTTTTTGGGGATGATGCTGAAGGGTGGATTTTGCAAGATAATGATCCGAAACACCGTTCGAAATTGGTGAGTAGTTGGAAGGAGAAAAACAACATCGAAGTTCTTCCATGGCTGTCAATGTCACCCGACAAAAATCTGATTGAGAATATTTTTAGGTTGATGAAAATTAATATTGCAAAAAAAATTAGAACTCTTACTGGATTAAAAATACAATTAGCAACAAAATGAAATCATTTACCTGATGATCTTGCTGCGAATCTTGTCCATAGCATGAAAAGTCGGGTTGAGACATTAATTGAAGCTGGAGATTATACATGTACAATGTATTAATGATCAGGATTTTTTTATCTTATTTTTTAGTGAGTTATTGGGGGGGGGTAGGTTACTTTTAACGAGCATTGTAAATATACCATTAGCTTTCAGAACAGCCGCAATTCTTTCCGTCATAGTATTAATTAATTTCAAACAGTAATCTCGATTTGGTTCCATATCATTTGTATTTTATTCCACAAATCTTCACGTCTACTAATTTCATTCCACAATTTTCGATGGGTTAAAATCGGGAGGTTGTGCTGGCCAATCTAAAATTGATCGATAAACCATTGATATGTTGCTGTATGTTTTGAATTATTATCCTGCTGTAATATAATATCATTTACTGATATTCAAGGTTCCAAGATATTCATCTTTAAGAATTTCTTGATGTTGCTCTTTATTCATTGTTCCATCAATTTCACAATAATTTCCAACACCAAAACTACAGAAACAATCCCCTAACTCACACCAAACTTTGCTGTCGGCTTAACATATTGTGGACTCAAAAGATGAATTTACCTTTCTAACACCATTCTCTTCCAACACTTTTCTCCAATCCTCTGGTTCAATTTTGATATTTTTTTGCGAACTTTTTTCTTGCAATTCTATGTCGTTTAAAGAGTAAGTGTTTGATTTTTTACCCTAGCTACTAAACCTTGTCTTAATGAGCGTTGAATTGTATTTGAAGAAATGATTATATTTTGTTCAGAAATTATTTTTTTGAACGTGGACCTTCACCCGATTTAATAAGCTTGCGAACATTTCTATAGTGACGTTAGTAAATATTCGCGGACGACCTGTTTTGGTATGACGTTAAAGTTTCCAGTTTCCTCTCTTCTTTGCTTTATTCTTAAAACCGTAGAATGATTGATTTTTTCACGATATGCAATTTCACGACTAGAATATTCTTCTTTAATAAGAGCATAGACACGGGTTTGTCGGTCAAGTGAATTTGCTTTTATCGTTTTGGATGCAAAATGCTAGAAATGTGACGCGTTTATTTGTGGGTTTGTTTTTAGTTATCCCCTTGAGAAAATTTTAACTTAGCTTCAAGGCTATTAATTTAACACAAACATTTTGAAGAAACAGCACCGTGAACCTTGATTTATCGTTATTCATACGATAATTGGAAATCGGACCAAAATAAATTTCTATAAGGGAGTACTTAGGCAGTGCTGTTTATCCTCAAGATAGTAGAATAATCAAACAGTAATTTGATCAAGTACTTGAAGTAAATTCGTGACAATGATAAATAGAGATTATTTAATTTTCAATAATAGAATGAAGGCCATGTGACTTCCTTATCACATGATTTACGGTATGCAGGCGCAACTACGTATATCGATGACACATCACACTATTTTTTCTTGTTAATTGACACTACAAATTCTTTTAAATCCTTAGCAAATCTGTTTGGTTCCTCCCAAAAAATAAGATGACCCGATTCAGTATACGTAATTCTTTTGCCATATTTTGCCGCTGCAAGAATACGATCGCCGGAAATTGTGGACACGAATCCATCTGAACCACCGTCTAATATCAGCATTGGAATAGTGAAGGTTCGTATAATAGCATAATAATCAATTGACAAATCTATTAAAAGAATTTATTATATATATATATATGTTCAAAGAAAAAGAAAAAGAAAAAATAACGAAGAAAAACAAACTCAATTACAGCTCGTCCAAGTTGCATTTACGTAGGCAGTCGGAATAAGAGCTATTCCGCCAAGGAGGAATAGTGCCGTTTCTTCACTGATCGGTGGTCTATTCTTTCCTACCAGTCCCTTTGGAAGAGCATATCTTGCCTCTATCGATTCTTGATAATCTTTACTCGCTATTGGGTCGAGAAGTGCAACTCCAACAGGGGCAATTGTTTGTCTTTCTACATTACCACACAAAGTCACAAGCCCATTAACTTTATCTTGTCCAAAATTTCCTAGGTACAATGTTGCAATAGCAGTTCCCATTGACCAGCCGACCAAAGTTATTTGTTTCCCGGGACTTTTATTAACAACCGCATCAACGATAGCCTTTAGATCTTGCGCGTTATAGTCCATAACGTATTGATTAGGATCTGTAGGTTTGCCACTATCAAGTGTACCACGACTATCGTACCGAACGAGATGGAGATCTTTATAGAGGAATTCGTTCTTGAATACCGGATTAAAAATTAGTCTGAAAGCTAGGAAACCATGGATAAAAACCACGGTTGGATTTTTGGTATCACCGATTTCTTCAACAAAGATTGAAACATTATTCGCGCCAGTCACCGTGAAGTTTCGTATTCCGTAATCTGCATCCGAATTGTACAACGAATAGTGTTCGGATGGATTAGTGTCGTCTTTAGGTATGGCTGTTGTTGTGGTTATTTTTAACGAGTAACAGAAAATGCAAATGCATAAAAAAGCGAGTATTGATTTCATCCTTTTCAATTAATTGAAGAGTAAAATTTTTCTTCGATTGACCTGTGAAAAATGCACTATTTTTATAGGGTAGATGTAGACTAGCTTTAGATATTTACACTAAATAAAACTAAATTTAGGGTAGATACCCACACTAAACTCAGTGAACTCTCGATATCGATATAGTGAAGAATCATTAATAAACTTCAACTCGATAGTGAAGTTATATAATAATTTCTCTAGTGAATATTTTTCTCCTTACCCTATATCTTCACTATAACGAAATCGAGGTTGTATAGGTATGGCTGTAAATAAGTTCCATCTGCTCGTTCCATCTAGTTGCAGCACAATTTCAAAGATAAACTCATGTGATTTTAAAGTATTTATTCTCTAAATATTATAAATTTGCTAAAATAGCTCTTCAAAAATACTGTGAGAAATGGTACAATACGTATGTGTGGATGTCGATTTCTGCGTTAACGTTTACTTAAGTAAATTAAAAAAATGACCGTTACACTTATTTTGTGTTAAAAGAAAAAGCATACCTTTGTGGAACTTATATTTGTTTGTTGTTTTACTATTATTATCGTTATCGTTATGTACGAAGATTAACAATATACCGATGTGTATGTATGTTAAATATATACGTAGTTAAATTTAGAATCAACTAAATCCGAAATAGAGTTCGGTTTAGAACCAATAGTCTAACAGCTTCATAAATCAACTTCAGGAACTAGTCCCTAAATTAATATCAAATGAACGCCTCGAACTAATTTATCACTCAAATAAAGAATTTTTATAAGCATAAGCAAAATTCATTTAAGGGATTTTTTGTACATGTATAAGAAAAAACGTCAAACTAGTTCCATTGTTCTACATCATAGAGCGCGCGGTTTGGGTTTTTAGGTACAAAACAGAATATTAAATTATATAATCTGACTACAATCTATCGCTTATCTTAATTAAACAAAATTTTGGCAACTTAAAATCTCATAAATGAATTAAATACGTATGAAGCTTTAAGCTGGAACGAGCCAATCGAAAGTTTACATCATTAAATTTAGAGAAGATATTCATACTAAATAAGATTCTCGGACCAAGGAAAAAAAGATCGATTCTGGCTTATCTCATTGTTCTACAAGACGATACATGAAAGACGATAAATTATGCACTGTTTTATTCTGAGAGGCACCTTGTTTTCCGTTTAATCGTGCTTTTCCTCGTTATTTCATGAATATTTTCATTAAAAATTGATTGTACCGATTTTCGTCGACCGAATTATTTTTCAATAGTAAAATTATTGATGCTGTTGCTATTGTCGGTATGATGGTATAATGAAAAACTCTGTGTATAACGAGATTTTTGAAAGAGGAGTCTAAAGTCTTATCTTAATAAAAGTTTTCAGATAAGTCTAAAGATAAAGAGATGCTTTAAGTTATAATACAATCTTTGCTTTTTACTTCAAATAAAATACAGTCTGACCTTCATATAATCACCTCTCATACAGTGCTCGAAGTTACCTACCCCGTAGATCATATGTAATGTTCCAAAATTTCCGATCACAAATGCTGATCATTGATACCTTTTATAGATTGTAAAGCTTCTATACGTATGTTCATAAACTTTCACGTCCCAAATATAATTAGTTATTTCATAAGACACATACCAATATCCAATAATCTAATTCTTAAGGTCCAGTGATCCGATTTGGACAAAAATACTACCATTCGATTCGTCTAGTCGAGGTGAATCGAATGATAGTATTTTTGTTCAAATCGGATCAATCACTGGACGTCGAAATATTACGTCTTAAAGTAGCAGATTCATTTTTTTGACGTTAACAAAAATTAATCAGCAAATTTAGGACGTGACATGTCGATCTCCAGTGATAAAAAATGTGAGGGTAGGTGCGTAACATCTAAAGTCATCAAAGATTTGTATTTTATAAAATGGATAAACTTCTTTACTAAGACGTAAATACAAAACTTAATCTGTGAATATACTCAGAAAGGACCTATTCTATTATATTCACAGATTAAATTTTGTATTTACTTTTTAGTAAAGAAGTTTATCCATTTTATAAAATACAAATCTTTGATGACTTTAGATGTTACGCACCATAGCTTATTTTTGGGTAGCTTATTATCGGAGATATATGGTACCCGAATTGATTAAACGAAATGTGACCGCTATCAAACGTTTGTATTTTTATAAAATGCATTAACATCATTATTAAGAAATAAATACAAACGTTTGATAACTTTAGACGTTGTGCACCATAGTTTAGCGAACATTGTAAAATCCGAGCCGCAGCAGCGGTACAAAATAATTTGACACTGTCTGCTTCGTAGATTTGTAATATCGATTATGAACTATTTATTGTTATTCGTATTTCAAATTAACAATAACGATAACGATAACGATAACGATAACGATAACGATAACGATAACGATAACAAATTTATAATTAAAAATTAATAATATATCTGAACAACAAATTGTACAAGAAATTAAAGCATTATAGTATTTATTATTTATTAAAATAATAATTATTAATTAAACTAATTCAAAATAACTTCACTATTATAAGCCCAAATATTTTTAAGTATTATAGTAACAATTAAAAATAATATAATAACATTAAAATTTATTAATCAAATATAGTAAAATACAAGTTTTTTCTCTATATAAAATCTTCAAGTTTACTAATAAATATTTTTATTTTTGTATTAAAATGAAGATAATATTACATATTTTAAATATATTTTTTAGATTTAATCTGATCAAGTTATTTTAATTGCATCTAATATAAATTATTTTTTATAATTATAATATATATATTATATTGAAATATGTAATATTGTCTTTATTTTAATGTAAAAATAAAAAATATTTATTAGTAAAATTGAAAACTTTTATATAAAAAGAAAAATAAATTTTGACATTATTGCATCATTTCTGATTATTATTATTATATAAGTATAAAAGTATTAATTTATAAAATTTAAAATATATTGTTGCAAAAATATCTGTATCTCAAATAATTATTAATAATTATTTTTTTAAAATAAAATTTTAATTATCTCTTATTTAATTAATTCATTAAATATTATGATGAATTAAATAAATATATTTTAATTATATATATTTTATAAAGAAATTGTACTAGTAATAACTTTTTGAATTTTTATTTTGTAAATTTTACTATATAAAATTTAATTAAAATTGATAATATAAAAAATATATACAGTTAAACTTCTCTATAGTCACACCTGTTTATAACCACATCTTTCTATAGTTATACTATTTTGTTTTTCTATTTATATATAAATATAGTAAATAAATCTCTCTATAATTATATTCTCTCTATAGTCATCAAATTTTGCTTTTTCAAGAGTGATAATTATAAAGAAATTTAACTATAATAAATAATTTAATTATTAAACTATGAAAATTAATTTTGCAATAATTACTAATTTAATTTTAATAAAATTTAAAATATATTTTTATTAAATATATAGCAATATGCTTATATAATTTAAAGTTCTAATATTATAAACTGATAAAAGTAATATTTAAAATATATTTTTTAAAAAAAAATAATTTTTTATTTTATTTTTTTAGAAAAATATTGCTTTATTTATTAAATAAAAATACAAAAGAATAATAAAATAATATAAATAGTTTATTTAAATTATTTTTTATTTAATACAAAGATTATAAAGTTTAGTTAAATATTAAATAACTTTTATTAGAAGTATTAGAAATTTATATTTCGAGATACAAATCTTTTTGCACTAATTTATAATAATTAACAAGTTCTTTAGTAAAAAATAATTTTTATTTATTTATATATTAAAAAAAATTAAAATATAAATATTTAAAATTTAAATTTACAAAAAAAAATATTAAATATTACAAATTTATTTATTAATTAAAAAATTCTGCTTATAAGCTTAAATAAGAAATAGAAAAAAAATAATTAATAAAAAATATATTTAAGTTTTATATTAAATTTTATTGAAATTATTATAGTTTAAAAAAAATTTAATAAAATAAAATTTAAAAAAATATAATAATAAATAAAAATTTTTTTACAAAAAATATTATATCATTACAAATAAAAATTATTAAAATATTTATTTTAATTCAAAATTTAAAAAATACTTATTTTATTAAATATTTTTTAAACTATTAAATTTAACAAACAAATTTATTTACTAAATTTTATAAATTTATATTATATTTTTATAATAAATTACTGGAAATTCATAAAAATAAAAATTATTTTTTTAAAATAAACTTTTATTTTATTAATAAATATTTTTGTTTTTATATTAAAATAAAACTAAAAATTTTTATTTTAATATATATTTTATAATAAATTACTAAATATTTAAATACAAAATATTTAAAAAGTATAATAAAAATAATAAATATTAAAATTTTCTTTCTATAATAAAATTTCTATTTCTTTAATAATCTTTTTTGTTTTTATATATTATTTATAAATTTTTCTAATTATAAAATTAATTATATAAACTTTTATAATTAAAATTTAAATTTACTAAATTTTAATTATATAATTAACTTTATAATTAGAAATATTTTTGAAATTAAATTTAGATATTTATAAAAATATATGTTAAAATATAAATTTTTAATATAAAATAAAAATTTTATTATTGAAAAAAATTTATATTTGATTATATTTTTTAAATTATTAGTAATTTATTATAAAATTTTATATATTATTATGAATTATTAAATTTTATAATTAAAATTAAATTTTAATTATAATTATAAATTTATAAAATTTATAAAAAATATATATTTAAAATATATATTTTTAGTTTTATTTTATATAAATACAAAAAATTTTTATTAATAAAATTTTTTTATTATATTTTGATATATTTTTGAATTTTCAGTAATTTATTATAAAAGTAAATAGTATTGTAACTAATATATAAATATTAATATATATAGTTACAATCAAAAATAATATAATAATATCAAAATTTATAATAAAATATAAGTTTTTTTTATATAAAATTTCAATTTTACAAATAAATATTTTTTATTTTGCATTAAATAAAAATATTTTTATTATTTATTTTTTTAAGTTTTTTAATTTAGTTTGATTAAGTTGTTCTAATTATATATATTTTAATTAAAATTAATCTAAATAATCTGAAAAAATATTTTTATTTTAATATAAAAATTGAAAATTTTATATAAAGAAAAAAATTCATATTAAATTATATTTAATTATTATATTTAATTAATAAATTATATTATTTTTAATTGTTACTATATATATTAAAATAAATAGAAATAAATAATTAATAAATAATTATATAAAATAAATAGAAAATATAAATAATTATATAAAATAAAATTTATTTTAGTAGTTAAAATTATAATTAAAAAAATTTTATAAATGAATTGAATTTAAAATTTTGTATTATATATAGTACAATTTGAAAAATATATAAAAATACATAAAGTTATAAAACTAAATATATTTTATATATAAAAATCTATTAAATACTTTAATATTATCAAACTTGATTTTATTTAATATTAATTAATAAAATAATTAAAAAAATTTTTTTAGTACATGTTATTTCTAAAATTTCGACTATATTATATATAGTATAATATAGTATAAAAAATATTTTAATTATAAAATTATTAATAAGTATCAAGTACAAAAACCAGTCACCAAAAAATTTCAAGAAATTTTATTTTTGAAATAAAAAATTCAATAAAAATATAAAAAATATTTAATTATATAAACTTTAATGCATAATTATATATTTAAGAAACTATTAAAAATATTTAAAATATATAAAATAATAAATAAATATTTATAAAATATATTTTTTTATATATTTAATTAATATTTAAAAATAAGTTAAAGAGATATAATACTTCTATTTATTAAAATACTCTTTTATTTTATAAAAAATTACTAAAATAATATTTTTGTTAAATAAAACAATTATTTATATAATATTTATAATTTTATAATTTATTATAATTATAAAATTAACAAATTCTATATTTTATATATAAATTAAAATTAAAAATCATTAAAAAGATTATAATTATTAGTTTGATTAAATTTTAATATTATTAAATAATAAATATTATAATTAATTGAAAAAATTCTAAAAAATAATATAATTATAATTAAATTTCCAACAAAAATTAAAAAATTAGATATTTTAAATTATTTTTTATATTTAATTTAAGAAAATTAGAATATTTTTTGTACTTAATTTAATAAAAACTAATAAATTAAATATTTTGAATTATTTTTTGGAATACATCAAAATATTTTCTATATTTAATTTAATAAAACTGATAAAAATCAGAATAATATTAATATTTTGAACTATTATTTATATTTAATTTGACAAATTTCTAATTAACAAAATAAATTTAGTATTTTAAATATTTTAGATTATTTTTTATATTTAATTTGACAAAAACTAATAAAATTAGATTTTGTATTATTTTTTATACTTGATCTAATAAAAATTTGATAAAAATTTTAATACCAATTTTTAATTTGCTTTATTAAACTTAGATCAGGTTAAATATTTTTGAAATAATAATATTTAATCTGAGATAAGCCTGACAAAAATTAATGTTAGCTTATTTAGATTTTTCCAGATTAAATATTATTATTTCAAAAATATTTAATCTGATTTAAGCCTAATAGAAGCTGGTTAAAAATAAATATTAAGATATTTTCAGATTAAATTTTCCAGAAGATTTCCTGAATTCTCGAAATATATAATTAAAAAGTGTTTATGATTTTTTATATATCGAAATTATTAAAAACCAAGTTTTAGCTAAAAAAAAATGAATAAAAGTTAACTAAAATTTGACAATATTCAAAAAATACATATAGTAAAGCTTTTTAATTGTATAAGAGAATATTATTTTAATTATCCTGTTCGCAGTTGGTAATATCTCCAAGGATCAAGTTTATTAATCATTTGTATGAATGATTCAATATTAAATGATTGTAGATTTATAATTATCCAGTTTATTAAGATATCCTCGCATTTTTTTCTTTTGCTGGTCCTAATCAATTCTTTGAAAGGACAATGCGAATTGGATATTTTTATATATTTTTCAATTATAATATTATGTACGTTATTTAAGGGTCTTTTTAAAGTGAAACTTCCTGTATCCAATCCGAATAAAGCTCCACATTTTCTACAAACACATTTATTTTGATACTTTTTATTTTTTTCATCGAAATATTTCCAAACGAGTGAAGATTTCTTGGGATTACTTAAAGTTAAATTGTTGGTTCATTAGTTGTTTGTGTCAAAAGTGGAATTTATTATCACTTTAAATTTTATAATCATCCATCTTTTTAGCCTAGTAAAGCAAATAATACAAAAGGTAAAAAATACAAATTTGAAATAAATGTTGAGTGCATTTCTCACATTGTTCATATAATAATGTAAATTTATAAACAATTATTATTTAATTTTGATCGACTGAACCAGGCCAGGTTAACATTTTGGTTCAGGTCCCAAGTCCAAAGATCAGATCCGGTGGTTTCGGACCAAGTTCTGCTTACCGTAAATTCTTTGGGAATTTTAAATTAATAAACGAAAGCTTATCTTGTTTTGATTCTTTATTTGGTAGAATTATTTACATATAATTTTTATTTGTAGTAAAAATAAAATTTAAAAATCTGATAATGAATTGAATCGCGTGAATCTCACACCCAGCCATATTAGAAAATTACTAAAAAAAATATAATATTTGTGAAGATGTAAATGCATAAAAGAAAAAGTCCACTGAATAATCCGTCATCCAAGTGTTTGTTATAAAATCGAGACATGCGTGACACAAACCCCCCCCCCCCCGTTGATAGTATTCTCATTGACGATTGCTCAGTTCGAGCAGACCACTATTTGAGACAGCAAAATAAAAAAATTCAAAATTAAGAAAAATTCAAAAATTTCCAATTCAAAATTTTCCTTACTTAATGACATCAGCGTAGTACTCAATTGGATTCATTTCTTCGAGCGTTCTATAATCATTAATACAGTAAAAATTAAATTTAAATTTATAATTTTCATGGGAATGCTCATTTGTAAATATACAATTGAATATCTATAAAACTTACTTTGATGCTACCATAGCGCATAATATTTCTGCAGCAACAACTTCAACAGATTTTTCAATTTTAGAATCATCATTTGGTTGTGACAAAGTCGAAGACAAAGACATTGATGCTGGCAATGATTTGATCATATCTTCTGGCATAGCCACATTTAATGGCACAGATGGCGTTGAAGAGGAAGACGCTTTGGGTTTACTTTGTTCTTCAACACAATATTCGAATATTTTATTTTTAGACTTATGTTGATCTCTTAAAAATGTATACCGATACGTATAATATTATTATTGATTAGTTGACATGATAAAACAACAAAGAATTATTTAATTACCGAATGCGGTCTTCGAGATCCCCTCTGCTGCCCCAAGTCGGAAGTCCGTATTCGATGCAAAGTTCTTTAAATATAAAAAAGATAAAAATTCTTTATATTTTAACTGTTACCTATTAGAAAATAAAATTAAAGTACCTTTCAACTCGTTTTTATTTTTTCTGCGTAAAATGTCAGCTTTGGATCTTTTGACTAGAGGCATCGTCTTAAGTTTATGTTACAGTACTAGATATTGATAGATATACGTATTTTTGCGTGAAAAGATATAATTTACGTACTGTTATGTCGATCAAAAATGAAAATATCGATTTTACTACGTATTTTGTATTCATATAAATCATAAAAAATTAAGGAAAAAATTACTTACTTACCAAAAAAGGAAAAATAACAAAAAAACCAAAAAAAAAATAGTTATGTTATTTTTGTGAGTGTAATAATAGAAAAAATAATGCGACCTGTAATGATAAAAAGGGGAGAAAAGAAAAAGAAAAAGAAAAACGACGCTTATAGATAGTCAATAGGAATTAATATTTCGATTTATGATTTTTCTAAAAGATAATGATCGATAAAAAATGCAGTGTAACCCGTTCGATATCTAATGTATACATATTTTTATTGTTGTCAAAATATCTTTCAATACATCAAACGTTATAATCATGCTATTTTTAGTTTTTATTTATAATAATTAAATATTACGTGTATGCTCTATTCCTTATTACCACAGTTGTATTACCAAAAACGGATAGCTTCTTAGACAATTAATAATACTGCGACGCCTCGTCTAAAGTTAACTTTTACGAAAGGAAAAAGTGTTCTCTTTTGTTCAATACTAAACCAAGAGAGTTTCTAGGCAATTGATGAATAAACTTACTTGACAATAAATTCATTACATGTAATATTGTTCAAATTATTTGTTCTTTAGAATTCAATTCAAACTTAAGGATCTAAGTCGTCACGAAAGAAGTAGTTATACCAAATTTTAAGTAATATTCAACCGAAAGTTTCTTTTGACTAGAGGATTAGTATTAAAGTTAAACTTATTTGATAAAATAACCTTATGTTAGAATTAAAATTTTTATGATGAATCTCAGTACATTTATAAGCCAATTCAATTGCAGTCTCCACTTGATTCGCGCGGATTGGAAGAAAAACTCTTAATTTAATTTATTTATATTGATTTAAATTAAACCTGTCCTGTATTCAATAAACTGTATATAACTAATTGACGTCAGCTTCTGCAGAATTAGAGGTATATTTAACTCTCCCCAAATGCAACTTCCATAAGTGCACATTCTAAATTCACGCTCTTGATCAGTCCCTGACTTGTAAGACCTTTAAATATCCTTCTCCATAAATGCAATCTCATCCTAAATGCATGTCTTGTCTGATTAGTCATGTGGTCCGGCAAATTGCATTTGGGAGAGTTGACTGTAGTGAAGTTATTCTATTTTAAATATATCAATTACGGGGGCTCATTTTGAAATAATAATAAATTTGTATATAACTAAAAGCGAATACGTTTTATTTGTTGCTAATTTTGGCATTTATTAAGAAATTTTTTGATAGTAAGAGTTATTTTCAATTTAATTTGTTAAAAGTGGTCATCTTTAGTTTTGCATTATTATAAATCAACTTATTAACACAATAATGTAAAATATTTTTAATCGTTTCCAAGAGTTGTCTATTGAATGATAGAAATTAACAGATATTTATTGCACATATCAACTGTCAACATAATTGAAGATTTTAAAATCCACAAACATTAGAGAATTTGATTCAAACATTTGAATTTTGCCAATTGAGCAGCTAAATATATATTATTAGAGCTTCGATTATATTATGTAGGCTTCTCTCAATTTTGAATGATAAAAGTAGTTTACTTCTTTTGATTTTTTTTGCATAATTGGCATAGAACATTTTTTATTATGCTAAAGTGAGCCCCGTAATTGAAGTATATCTAGTAAACCAATATATTACTCCCAATACATGAACTTGTTTATACACGTAACAATAACGACAAGAATATTATTGACTACGTACTTAGCGTTAGAAAATTAATATCGATATACGGTATGCGCATTATTTATCTTGTTCGGATCATCGACATTTTACGGCATACGTACGTACATGTACATTGATGCCGCATACTACCGTATATCAGCGCACTTTTTTGATAATTTTGGTTAGTTGAAGTGGTTCTTACCGTTACCGTTACCGCCACAGTAAATAAGAACCACTTCTGTTTCAGCTAACCAAAAATGCGCTGATTTACGGTAGTATGCGAGGTGTTATGACACGCTGTATACATGTAATTTAATACGGTGATTTGTGTACCATTACAATCAGACGCCTCATATTTATATGAACTCCTAAGAAAGAACTTCTAACATCCAGGTGCTAAGCAAAATATATAATTGCTCCTTTTAATGTTAACGCTAAGTTTTTAGATTTTTATTTGTTTTCTTTAAATACTGAATCCGGGGTTTTGGCGCATCTGATTTTTTTGACTGAAATTTCACAGAAAGTTTAAGAAAATTTTGCGAGACATTTCAAGATTTGAGCAAGTTTACATAGATCCCTGGTTTTAGTGAAAGTGCTGCATTCAAACCAAGTATCGGTAATTTAGCAATAAGCAATAAAAATAATATTAAATATATAACGAAGGCTTCAATTAATCTTTATCTATTGAACGCAAATAAATGTACAGAAAGTTATAAAGAATATTCAACCAGTTTCGTAAGAAACCGCTTTCGATCTGTTTGCTTGAACAATTGTATTCTGGGCAAATTATGTAGAAATCGAAATCGTGCTGCTGTTACAAGAAACGTCATAATTAGATTTGAAAATTATTGTTTGCAGTTTTCAGTATTGGTTCGAATGAATCATTGTCTTGCTCTACGTCACATATCACACATTACACTAGCAGTGAGTAGTTGTATCAGTAGTATTATGTACAAATGATGGATGATTCCATTTGTAGGTTTCGATAAATTTTATGAGTTTAAGGTAATTCCAGATTAATTTTACGTTAAATGTAAGAATAATTATATTTAGCATACAGCTAAACACGTCATATAATAAAATTTTACTCATAAATATTAGAAAAGATTTGATTGATATAAAAAATACGTAGTAACTACATATTACAGACGAGCAAAAAAGAATTTATGTGTGGATTGCTTGCTTAATTAATTCAATCAATAATCATATCTGTGATTGAAGACCTTTTCGTTACAAGAAGTTCAGAAGCCTACGAAATTTACTAAGCGAATTATACTGTATCTTTCTAAAGTTTATATGTTTGGTGCATTTTCCATATTGTATACCTGCAAAATCAAACAAAATTGGACAACTTACAAAGATTTGAGGTTTCAAAGTTCTGCTTCAAAACCTATAATAAAGAACAAGGTAATTACCAAAAATAAAAAACATGATTATCTTCTTCAATACTACATATATAACGATAATAGAATTTGACTACACCAACTTTTTTTTAAATCCATGTACATGTACAGACACAAAAACAATCACACATACGGTATAAATCGATATTGTCCGATAATTGGTAGACCCGACCCGCTATAAAAGGCAAGATTTATAACGCTATTTATACGTAGCTGGTTCCGGGAATGGTCCGTTATAAAATCTTAAAATAATTGTATATGGTATATGCGTATACAGTGAACCCCATAAATGCAAGCTCTCGGCGGACACTAGCTCCATTTATAGGAGGTTTACATTTATAAAAGGATATGCTATATAAAGTTCTATGCATTTACATTTATGAGGGTTGCGGTTCACTATATTCAATTTCTGGCTCATTTTAAAACATAATTGACAATTGTACGTAGAAGAAGCAACAGACAAAAAGATACAACAAGCAGATAATTTCACTCACTCACTAACCATAAACACATACAGATATATGTCTATATGCTCTTTCTTTTATGTCTACGTAATTATAAAACCGTTTTAGTCAATGATAAACTCCGAAAATGGATCAAATGACGAAGTATCGAAAATGCATGAATGAATTCTACATACGTACTGTACTTGCATTCATTCTAATATTATTAATAGAAAACAAAACTTTTAACGTTAATTAATAATTCCGATTCGCAACAATGTACAGTATACATGTCATGTACGTATCGTATTACGTATGTACATGTACATGAATAAAAATGATATACGTAAAGATATCCATAACAATAACGATAACGATACGGTAATAGTGATGACGATAAAGATAAAGATAACGATAACGATAACAATTCAATTAAAAAACATAACGATAATGATAAAAGAGATGAAAATTCCGATTTCTTAATATCATGTTGGCAGTGTTGTCACTTGGACGTAAATCCAGCAATTTGATTGGTCAGGACGCTTGTCCCAACCAATCAAATTGCTGGATTTACGTCCAAGTGACAACACTGCATGTTGTATACTAAAATAAATAAAATTTCTATTAATCGATCCATATTCATGCCACGTATTTATTTCACTTTCTTCTTTGAATTTGGCAGTAAATGGACTTTTATTTTCAAAAATATATAAACTCAGCCTAATTGAATTTTTAATTACTCATAAGTACATGTAATAAATAAGAGTATTATTACAACTGGTGTAAATATAATAAAAGTATTATCAAGAGATGGATCTCTCTCGATATAAATTAAAAATAAACAGCATTAACAATTTATTATTATCTAATATGATTAATTATGACTTATCGTTATCGTTATGTTATTTTGTCTAAATATTAAACACTGTTGCGTTCCCTTCAATATTTAGTTGAATGGGTTTATTTTATGATGAATGGGTCGGGGGCACCAGAATGTTATGTTTGTTATAACAATCGATTGATCAAGGGATTTTCCGCAACGGAGGAGCTAGACTGAATTATTTACGGTTGAAGGGTTTCTTCGGGTGTTCTAAAGGCTTCCTATGGCAACTTGTACACAAATCGACATTTACTCAACGATGAATGGGTGTTTAGAAGGGGAAATTGGATAGAATTATTCTTGTAACAAGAATCAAATTATTATAATAAAGTCTCATTTACTCAATAAACATGGCCTATTCAAAAAAAAAGTTAATTCAACAGAACTTATTGATATGGCCTGTACAAAGAAAACAAAATTAATTCCACAGAACTTATTGACACAGCCTGTTTTTGAAAACACAATAAAATCAAAG